CACAGCTGGCCACATGGGGCACCTGGGGGCAAACCCAGCCCCCCAGCAGCTCCCGGTGCAGGACTTTATCGGAGACTCCAGCTCCCATCTCCTGCCCCAAAACCCACTGGGCTGGCCGGGAAAGTTCCCGCGAGTTCCCCCGGCCGGGGCAAGCCCCCTCTGCCCCCGACTCACCTTCTCAAGCAGGATCACAGTGTGGTCGGCGCGGGCTCTGTCCAGGACTCTGTCGTTGTGGAAGGTGATGGCCATCTGTGCAGGCAGGACCAGGTGGGGTGAGCCACGAGCCAGCATGAAACTACAACTCCCATGAGCCACCGCGGCAGCTCAGCCTGAAGCCAGGCACCCAAACCACAAGCCCCATGATGCTGCAGTGTCAGGGACTTCTGTGGTGCATCCTGGGAGATGCAGTCCAATCAGAGAACTGACTTATGGGGAGAACAGGGAGCCTGCTGAGCCAAACTACAATTCCCATGAGTCTCCGCAGTGGCATTGCCCGAGCAAACTATTTTGGCTTTACAAATATCTGGAAACTCAAATTCATCTGCACAAAAAAAATGAGCAGACATTTTCCAACGAGCAGTAACATACTCCTTAGATGCAGTCACCTCTGGGGTGGGGCATCTGGGAGCAGCCATGCACAACAATGCATGGGAGTGGTTTACCCAGCTCTGGGTGGGGCTGTTGAACAAGCTCACAGTGCCCCAGCACCCAGATGGTTTCCCTGACAGAGACAGCCCCTTTCGGGCGAGCCAACAGCAGTAAGACACAAGTAGGGGGCAGTTCTACACAGGAAGTGAATTCACAAGGGGGCACAGGCCCCGTGGTCACGTCAGAGGCAGAGCTGGGAGGAGCAGGTACCTGAGAGGGGGAGGAGAAGCCAGAGCGATGCTTCTTCATCAGGGCACAGAGTTTCTGCAAAGAAACCACAAGAAATCACAATGGAGACTTCACGGGTCTTAAGAGCGCCCCCTGCTGGGCCCTGCCTGGCTCCCTGCCCCACAGCACCCCCTAGCGCCACTCTGGGACACTAAGCCAACCCTGCCTGCCGGGGAAGAGCGCCCCATGCTGGGCCCTGCCCCACAGCACCCCAGTGTCACGAATCATGGGCCATGTGAATGGTTCACGCATCCACTCATGCTAATCACCAGTAAGTGAGCCGAAGAGAGGCTGTGCTGAGGTGCAGGCAAGAGCCTGGGAGGAGTGTGGACTTGTTTACAACTTTAAGAAGAAGGACCGTGTGAAATAAAAGACCGGAGTGTGCGGCTGAGGCAGCGTTCCCGGCATTGCCAGATAAGAAATAGGAACAAGGGAAGACTCTAACAAAGAGCAGAGCATCGTTTCTCACTCATGGTCAGGCAAGCAAAATTGGGGGGTGCAAAAACTGGATATTTCTGGATGGGTCCTGGACACATCAGTAAGACGACGGGGGTGTCACTAACAGACATCACCCCATGGGACTGTGCAGGCAGTGGATGGCATCTCACTGGACCGGCCCCTGCTTAGGGGATACACACCACACCATTTGACCCACGAGTTAAGAGTCCATCGTTCGGTATATTGGGGTGCCGTGCACGTCAGACTTCCGCCTCAGTCAAATTAGCCAACGTTACCTGGGGTCTGGCCAGCACCAGAGGTGAGTGTGAGTGTGAATGTGTGTGTGTTAAATTGGGTTAAGAATTAAATTTAGATTGTTAAGTATTCCATTTAATTATTGCTTGTAATGCCGTTGTATGCGTGCAATGCCTTTTAACGGCTTTCCCTGTTCGTTTTAATTGTGTAAGTACTAAACATACACACATATACTGCTTGGAAAATTTCCTCCTGAATTGCTTGCAGTAAACTTGTCAAGGGTACGATCTGTCTGCTGAGCTGGTGCTCTGTGAGCCGGTTCTAAGGCATGGCCGGAGCTGTTTGATCACCCAAGCAGTGGCAGCGCCCTCTTGTGACACTAGCGCCACCCTGGGGAACTGGGCCAGCCCTGCCTGCCAGGGCAGAGCGCCCCCTGCTGGGCCCCCACTCCCCAACTGCCTGGTCCCCACCTTGATCCTGGCGGCGAGCTGGGTCCCGGTGAGCGGCTCCCCCCACTGGTCCCTCCAGACGTGTCTCCCGGCCGAGCCCACCAGGGCGGTGACGTAGTCCCTCAGGCCTTCCCGGAAATCCTCGTCCATGTCTGCCGGGGGGAGATGGACAGTGAACTCGGGGCCAAGCATTCCCCCTTCCCCCCCCCCGACCACCATTCCCAGAGA